CACACACACACACACACACACACACACACACACACACACACACACACACACACACATATATATATATATATATATATATATATATATATATATTAATATATATATATATATATACATATATACATATACACACAACACATATATACATACACACATACACACAAATATATATATATATATATATATATACATATATATGAGAATCAATATAGTCATGTTGTTTTTGCTCAATGGCAATTCGTTGATATGACATGCCTGGAGCAATTAGAGTGCACATCACACTTAATGCACTCAGTACAAAGCTTATTAACCTTTGCCCACATGCTACGCGCACTCCTTCCAACGAACTCTGTGCACATATAAACACGATTCCTCTTTTCCCATGTGCCGTCCAAACGCATTTCGCCCAAAAAACTAATGAGCTAAAAAATAATAATTACACAATACATTTGTGTTTGCGTATTGTGTATACTATGCACAAACAAACCCTAAACCCTAAACCCACCAAATAAATAGGGACATACTCTGTACCGCCGCCAAACGATTCTCCAGCGCATCGGCCTGCGAGTCCTTCACGAAAACTTTGGACAGTCCCATCGCATACTCGTCGTCTTCTACGGCCAGCCACTGTGTGGGTGCACCAGGGCCATGGGCGACAATGTGAGGACGTGTAGGGCACACAATACGACAGTGAGCCTACCAACCCTTTGCCCAAGAGAGTGCATAATCTTATTCGAGGTTAAACAGAATACATTCTCTACAGAGCGACGATATCAGCTTCTGAGATCTAAATAATTGATATTTATATATATATATATATATATATTCGCTTACCTTCATAATGTATTCGGACAGTTGGCGTGAGTCGTTGAGCTTCATTGCCGGCGCCTTGACATCATTTGGCAGCAGATTTAGGAACCTGAAAAATAAAATAAAATCTATCCGTGAGTGGTCGCAATATATAAAAGTTAAGTTTTATAGTTCACAGACAGCGGCTCGTTCAATACATTTAATACAAGTATCGGCTGATCTACTACCGCTTGTGCATTGCGTCATCCAGTTGCACATTCGATATCACTTTCATAGCATCTTTAGCTCAGTTTATGTTCAGCATTAGAGACCTTCCCATGAGAGTACCAAAAAGCCGATTTCGTTATGTATCTAAATATAGATTTTTATCGTTTGTAAATATAGACTCTATCCTGTACCTAAATATAAAACACCACACACTTTTCATTGAAGTCCGGGAAGGTGTAGCGCACTGGGAAACCGATCTGACGGATACGGATGGTGTCTACCATGCCCACACTCTTCATCTGGTTGAGAATGTAGTTCTGGTCGAACACTTTGGCCACCTGAATTATAGGGTGAGTGTGTGGGTGTGTGTGCGGTTGAGTAGGTAAGCAGTAGATTGGGTGGCGAGTATTTGGTCTGATTTTGGGTATAATGTTAATACAGGTGTATACGTACGCAGTGGTAGTAGAGCTCTGGGGGAAATGTAAGACGGAGGATGGGGGCTACGGTCAACCATAATCGATCGAGAGGTACACCTTTTCAACCTTCAAATTCAGTCTTAGTGTATACGGTTTAAGGGGTTAGGACTATGCTGTGTGTCAAATGTTTGCAGATATATATAAAGCTTTACATGGTATGACTCCTGTATACTGTATTTAAAGCCCGCTCACTACCATAGTATTAGGTATAAGGTGTAGGGCTATGGTGTGTGTCAAATGTTTGCAGATATATATAAAGCTGTAAATAGTATGACTCCTGTATACTCTATTAAAGCCTGTCCACTGCCATTGTCTTAGGGTTTAGGTGTTTAGGGGTTTAGGGCTGTGGTGTGTGTCAAATGTTTGTAGATACATTCAAAACTATAAATAGTATGCCCACTGTATACTTTATTTGAAGCCTGCCCACAGGTTGAGGGTTTGGACAAACATACCTGCGCGCCGTTTGGCTTGAGACAGCGGATGAACAGCGGCTGTGTTTTCTTCAGCGATGTCATGAGTTCTTCCAAACTCTTCTTGAACTATAAGCAACGTACCACAGTAATGGGACAAAGGAATAGAAGTTAGGAATAGAGAGATAACGGGTTAGAGATAAACTGATAGAGGGATAGAGGTAGCACCAATGCTTCTGTCTAGCATGAGATCGTCCAATCACTCCTTAAACTATATGCCAAGTACCACAGTTGTGTGTAGGTATACAGATGCAGAGGTATAGTGGCGAGGTACGGAACAAACACCAAAGAACCGATGAGGCTGATGAGAGTCTAGACGGCGTGGTGCGATTATCTGAGCGCCCATGCGAACAGACGCACGCGGTTGGTCGGAAGTCCTAAGCTTTCAGTGATGCAAGGTAAGCACTAGTCCCGATCGTTTAAACGTTTTAAGGGTTTTAGGGTTCTAGGGTTCTAGGGTTTGGCAGGCCCTGCACTTGCTATGGCAATGTCGCAGGTGCGTCTTCTGGTGGTGTCCATAGGCGGAGTGTGGTATATATATATATATATATATATATATACATACACACACACACACACACACACACACA